ATCAATAAGCAGATGATTGATTATTTCCTTGTACATAGCTGAGATTCTGCTCCAACAAACTGATTGTGTGGATGAAGTGAATCTGTACATGAACTCATTGATCTTCAACAAGCATTGTTGGAAAATAGATTCGTTGTTATTGTGGTTGTGGAAATATGTAAAAATGTTTTCATTTAGTTCCATATTTTTCCTGCAGACATTTTATGGGTTAAATTATGTGAGTGTTGAATGTTTAAGTGCAGTGTATCGCGCTGTGGACAGGTAGACCCACAGGGAAGGTGTGTGCTGTTAGACCACATGTACTTTGTATAACCAATAACAAATGAAATGATAAATAAATATTTGAGTTCTGGACTTTGCGATGCTCTCGAGTTATTGGAATTATTTGGATCACGAGTCAGAAACAATCCTCTGCAGCCGCACTGATATCTAATACTATAAGTATTAATACCTCACTGAGAAAGTACTTCACTACAAGTTAAAGTCCTGCTTTCAAAACTTCACTTTAGTAAAAGTATGTGTTATCAGCTAAATGTACTTAAAGGTCTAGCGTTTTATATTCATGTGATTATACACAAATTAAAACAGACCATGAATATGATATTCCATTTTTGACAATAGATCCTCCTAGATAGACACTAGAACATTAAATAAAACTACTTAAAGCAGGTGTGAAAACCAAAAAAAGGAAAACTAACTGAAACAATATTGTGTACTTACAACAAGAACTACAATAAAATACAAATATACAGGAGAGGTTACATATTATAGCTTAAAGATAGAAGTCATTATTTGATTATATAATCGTAACAACATATGTTGCTGCGTTTATATCACAGAGTATCACAGAGTAAGAAGAGCTTGTTTAGGATGCTGGTTGTGACTGACTGTAAGGATATCCCATGACTGAATGATGAATGAGTTTATCTGCTGGGAGCTGAACAGAGACAGAAGGCAGAGAGAGTTTAAAATGCTTTTTATTGGTGATTAAGACAATTGCTCTTTTATTCTTTGGAATTAAACTGAATCTGGACTAAAGAAACTGTGATGTCATGAGGAAGGGGTGATGATGTCGTTAGTTCAGCTGTAGGCATCTTTCTCAGTCTGGGATTGGCTGGAGGGTGCAGCCACTGGGAGCTCAGGGGTCAACGCAGGCCGAACAGGCTCTGCCCCCGTCTCACCTGGAGAAAGAAAAACAGGAATATGCTCTTTTTTTTTTTTTAAAAACTACAACAATAAATGCACTGAACGGCCTCTGGTGGCACTGTTATACACAGTGTAGTGACATTCACAGATAGAAGCTTTACAGGGAAGAAGAACAAACTGAGACGTTATATTTAATGTGAGGCTGCTGCTGATGTTAATCACACATATATAATGTGAAGAAGCAGCATTGATGATAAATGTCCGTCAAGCTTTTAGCTGATTCTGTCCGATTTTAATTTAGTTGGTGGGTTCAGATTCAGTCCTGTCAGACTGTGTTAAGGGCTGAATGCGTCATGTTACTATGACAACTGTGAGTTGTCATGTGGTTAGAGTGATTAAACAGACTACAGGTGGACTGGACTCTACTGGGTTACTCTCACCACTCAGACTGGTCAGTCTGGTTCCCAGTTGGCTCCAGAAGGTGCAGGAGCTCTGACTCAGACCCTGATGATGTTGGAGGGTGGGTCTTAGCTGCAGGTAGGTGGGCAGAGCTTCAGAGGACAGGACCTGCTGCCAGCGGGGCAGAATTGACGCCGCCCACACACGTGATGGGTTCGGGTTCCTGAGGAAAAAACAAGACAAATGAACTTCATCATGTGACGTCTGACAGAGCAGGTAATAAATGTAGGCGTTCGTTAATTAGCGTTTATCTAACAAGCGTTTGTCTGACCCAGTCCGGACGAAGCTTGACACGTAGGTCATCATGGCCAGAGAGAGGCGTCGATCAGAGGACGTGAAACGCTGAGAGCTCATTGGATGATGAGGAGTCCCAAACACAAACTGAACGTCAAGAGGAACGTTGGCCTCAGCCCTGCATACAGGAAGCAATAATCAATATCTTTGATTAGTTTTGACAGTTCAGATGTAAAGAACACAGTCAACACATTCAGAGATTAGACTACAACAAAAGTACACTGCAGAAATATCAGATTATAATTATTGATGCTTTAAAGTAGCTGGTAAAGCTGGAACTCATTGTAATATGTTTATACACTGCTGGGTAGTTCAGTCTATAATAATAGTGTATCATCTGCAAAGAAACTGACCTTACATTAAATGCAGCAGAAATATTAAAGGAACCAGTATAAGTGAACCAGTACCTATTATGAGCGCTAGTGGCAGGCTGGTGGTACAGGAAGACGTTAGCTTTGCTGTTAGCCCAGTGGCTAGCCATCTGCAGGCTGGGACAGATGATGAACAGATCTCTGCAGCACACAGACAGTTTTACAGTGAGAGCTGGCACACACTTTCTGCTCTAAGTTCTCTTGACCAGACAGTTGTACAAAAACTTGAGTATCGCGTGTAAGAGAGTCAAACAATAGGCAGCAAGGATGCACAACAGGATTTGGTGCTAACAAAGCCGGCTGAACTGATCATGGTGAGCAGACCTGGTGGCATTGTTGAGTGCTCTGGAGAACAGGTTGTATCCTGCAGCTGAGGGACTGTGATCCAGAGAGTAGAACCAGGCCGCCGCTTCCTTCAGCAGGTCACTTCCTGTCACTCCGCCCAACGAGCGACTCAGAGCCTCGTAAAACGCCGTCTTACCGTCAGTTCTACCCTGCAGAGCCTCAAAGTCCTGAGACAAAAAACAACATGACTTCATAACCTTCTTCTTTTGTCTTTTGTTCACGTGATTATTTTCATTATTTTACAGTTACTCATTTGCTGAGCTACGTTTTACAGACCTTTTAAAAATAGCAACCAATTTTTGTCTACTGGACTGAAAACACTTTATAGACCAAGTTTAAGCAGAAAATGTCCTCATAAAGCAATGTTTCTACATAATTTCTATTTTCACACTTTGTGTAATAAAAACTAAAATGAGAGGATCTGAGCTCATTGTTTATTGGAAGCTTTCTGGGAATACGTTGCAGTTTCTCTCCTCAGTGGTTCCTACGTTTACAGACACAGACCGCCGTGTGACCTCTGACCTTTATCCTGCGAGCTCGGCCGATCAGACCATCATGTTCTGACGTTCCCAGCAGCAGATCCACTCTGTGGAAGGACGACTGGGAGACGGACTGACGGACTGGAGACCAGGACTGAAATGGACCACTGACCGCCAACAGCTGCCACACCACACACACACACACAC